CTGCAAAACAGAGTGAAATTGATATTACTGAACTGTAATATCATCTACTCCAAGGGAGAAGATGTAGCTTCACATAAAGAGTGGTTTTCCAAGGAGTCACACTGGCAAGGGATCACAAGATACTTAATAAGTGTTAACCTCTCTGCAACAAAAGGGACCTCATTATCCTTCTTGTTTACTACAGAAAGCACAACATTATTTACATGTTTACTGTTGTAAGTATTGATATCTGTGGTTACACACACTGTGTGACATGGCACTGAAATCCTTGCAAGCTTCATCTGCCATTCCCAAATTATAAATTTTTGCCAATGTTTTTTGCAAGTGTAGTGACTTTAATATTATTCATGCTTTGTTTTGGCTCCTCCCCAAACCCTTCTTTGCATTTGTATTTCTGCCCATTTTATTGCTGTAGCCTTGGAGTTTGTCATCCTTGTGGATGAATTCTATATGGATGCCCATCATTACCTCCTAGACTTCCTGCCACGTGCAGCAGCCTGAAATACTAAAATTTATTTGTTCTGACCAACTTTCCCAAAGCTGACTGCTGACATGAGAGAACAGTCTTTGATTGTCTCACTGTAACAAAGATTTCTTTCATCCTCAGCCATTGCTCCCTTTGATGTTATTTCACGCTTTCTGTTTTCAAAGTTTGCCTGGGAGTTTTATTTGACCTACTGATCATAATGCATTTAGGTTTGTAATGGGTAATGGATATCTAAGTTATAGCTGCTGATGCAGTGTTTATATTCTTCCCATGGTGTGAGAGGAGCTTTGTATAAAAGTTATTACTGACATCTTGATAGTGCAACTCAGACATCTTAATATAGTGCCACGTTATTATTTCATTACAGCTGCTTCACAGTAATTCATTATTTATAAACACGTGTGCTTCTGGCTCAGTGAGTAGCTAGCAATTTATTCCCACATACAGAATCTCATTTTAAGATCCCAGTTTGTTACTTTTCTGGAACTTCAGACTTGCCCTTTATTTTATGTAGTACCAATGTCGTTCCAATACAACAGAGTAAGGTGGTGGAGAGGTAAGTGCTGTCACTGGTTGCAAACACAAGGGTGGTTATTTTGGCAACTGCCCCAGTGCCAGTAATTCAGTGATATAGTAATTTTAATGTCAAAAAGCTCTTAACTTGAGATGGAATTAGTCATAAAATTACAGAAGTTAAAGTCTATTTGCTGTAACCCAGGCAAAGTAGCCCAGCCCTGAATTCCTAAGAGGTATATGACACCAGAAAAATAAAAGTAGAAAAGTTTTTAACACAGAGATGTTTAGGGAGCTTTCGTCACAAAAAAAAAGAGAATCAGTAAAAAACAAAAGGGGGGGGTCATAACAGCATGTCATGTCAGGTTCTTAATATTCTGTGATACAAAAGAATTTATATTTTTGAGTTAATAGGAAAATGACATAATTCTGTAAATTTATAGAACACGATTGAAGGATAATTTGTCATTTAAAACATAAGCACTTCAAAATACATTACTGTAAATTTCAAGATTTCTTTTGTCTTCCAGAAGAAATAACATCTGTCAAAAGACAGCAGTTCAGATTGAAAATCAGCCTATAAAGTAGATTTCAAGTTAAAAAGTAAAAATTACTGCAGATTCTTAGGAGCTTAAAATCATTTTTAAGGACTATACACTAGAACTTAATGGCATGAAATAGAGACCTGCACAGTAAGATTCACAAAAGCGGGTCTAATTTATGTGATTTTTTCTAATTTTTTTTCATAAGAGATCTGTTTAGGACAACACTTCAGAAGGGTTTCAACAATGAATAGCATAGCTGGCACAAAGTAATTTTTTTTTTTAGTTTTCACTCCAAGTTGGCATTTGACCTGAAAATCTTGTGATACTGTATCAGCTTTGAACATGAAGTCAAAGGAAAACTTCACCAGGTTAAACAGCTGCTTGGATTTGTAGTTTTCTATAGTCTAGACTAGAATGTAAACTTTTGGCAACTGGATGGATAATGGCTTTTTTCAAAGTTGTTTGTTTGTTGGGGTTTTCTTTGTTTTTTTTTTTTTGTTGTTGCTGTTTTGTTAGTTGGCTTGTTTGTTTATTTGAGTTGGTTTATTTTGTTGGGTTTTTTTGGAAGACATAAAGGTTCTGCTTCATTCCCAGTGCAGAAGTTCTAGTTCCTCTCTGTCTCTTACTGAACCCTCCGTCACTGAGGTGCTTTTAAAATATGATCCCTCTCATATGGCAATGTCCTAAAAAACTTTCAGACAAATAATCAAATAAAATTAATAATTTTATAATCCTGGAAGACCATGACCACCCTGAAGTTGCAAACTTTGGAAATATTAGAAACAATCCTTTTGTTCTTGCTTCTGCTGCTTTTTAAACAGAAGACACACTATATCGAATTTTTTCTTTTCCTTTACATTTACAGTGCTCATTCTTTTTTTTTTCTTTCCATCAAAACATATTCCCTTACTTGTGGGAAGATAAAGATATATTCCCTTATGTGAGGAGGATGCATTTCTGATAACTGTGATGGTTACAAATTGTGAAGATGTTTTTTTCCTGATACAGGTAATGCAATAGAACAAGACACAAAGATGTACTTAAGAAAGACATAGAGTTTAAATGCACATGGACAGTAAAATGCAAAGTTCTTCCATAACATTGTCCAAATAATACTAGTGGAGAAATTTTAGAAAACACTTCTATGCTAGAAAGTAAATTTGTTTTGTATAGCATGTTTCAAGCTCCTCCAAAAAAAAAAAAAAAAAAAAAAAATCAATGCTCTTAGAAGAATTCAGGATGACACTGAGGAGAGGAAGCAAGATACAGGATCATCAGGTTTGCCAGGTGCCAGTTGAATTCCCAGTAATGACAGAAGTGGTGCAAAGTGCTGACAGGTCAAAGGCTGACTTCTCAGCCTTCTTTGCTGTAGCTGAACAAGCTTATTGCTTTCAAAAATGAAAACTAAGAGATGACTGCCCACTAGCCTGAGATTGGTAACAAGAGGCTGAATATTACAGTGCCCCAAAGAGTGCATCTGAATATTACAGTGCCCCAAAGAGTGTATCTACCCGTTCTCAGGACAGATCGTTTTCCTGAAAGATTTGAGCTATTTATTCTGTGAGACTGGGTGCTCAGTTTAAGTTGTTTAGTATAAGCCTTCTTGGCAACTCTTCCTGGATGGTTTCACTTTGACTCTGAAGCCAACAATTTCACCACACTTTTGCTATCAACCCTTTCAAGGCCAGCTTCTCAGAGAAAGAGACAATACTTTTCTGGGCAGCAGAGATAACATAAAATCCATCAGAATTCAGAATAGAATCTGGTGACCATTTTTGCCATATACCTCTCATGCACTGCACTGTGACCTCTTCCCAAGTAATGTGCGTGTCATCTGTCTCATCCATGATACTGAACTACCTCCAAAAGTCACTGAAGAAGAGTTTTTTCCCGGATAAGCTTGGAGAAGTTTTTTTTTAGACAGTAGACTTTTTAAGTGCTGATTACTCCCTTGTTCATTGGTTGGAGTAATGGGATCTTACCAGAAGCAGACCATGATTTTTCCAGTGGTTCACAGGAGCTTTTAATCAAGGTTGTGGCAGGTGGAATTACCCTAAACAAGGGGAAACTTGCCTGTTTCTTAGTGTTCCCTAAGATCTGGCACCATGAGGGCACTTTGTTGTCTCTATGACTTATAGGAAAATCTTTCAAAAACCTCTTGTGGCCCTGGAGTTCTCACTGCAATTAATTATGAAAGGCTTTAGCATACATTCTCCTTTTGCAGTGCCACCCAGCAGAAGGGTCAAACAATCTTTTAGCAGCCTTCAAGCCTAAGGCAGTTTCCTCTTCATTACTTCCAATATGGATTGTGCACCCACCACATTCAATACAAGAGTTCTGTCTGATTTAGCTTTCAGAGCAACACTTATGCATAGCCACAGGGTTACTAACATCACTCAGAGATTGCCTTGAACTCATGATGATTATAATATGCAAAGACACTTCATTACTAAAACCAAAGTTGATAATCAAACAATATAACTCCAGAACAAATGACAGAAAGTGACAGCAGCATGGTACTGAAGTTACAAGTTACCCATTTTAAGGAATGACTGAGTAGGAGTGAAGGGTGGAATCTGATAGAGCAGTGTAAATTCATAAGTGGCACAGAGGAAGTGAACAGGGAAATGTATGTTTGCTATCACTTCTATTACAAGAATGAGCAGGTATTGAGTAAAAAAAAAAACAAACAGCGGGTTCAAAACAACAGCAGACAGTTCTTCACAGCAGACAGGTCAGCTGTGACATTCCCTGCATAGGATGCTGTAGTTGTTTGAAGTGTGCACAGGTTCAAGCTACAACTGGACAAGGCAACAGAAGAAAATCCACAGAAGGGTCTTCTAAATGAAGAGCACACAATCTGCTTCAGGAAATCCCCTCAGCAGATACCCTCTGATGGTGGCTGTCAGGAATGGGACGTCACTCGTTTGGACTGTCAGATCCTGTGGCTGCTTGGATTGCAGGTCCACATTCTTCCTGATGGCAGTGATTATGTCCAGGGATTCCCCATGCATAATGGTACTGCCATTCTTACACAGGGCAAAGGACCATGATTTTCTATCAAAGTGTGATGTGCAAGCACTGCTTCAGAGCTGATCTCTCTTCAGTTTCAGGTGTAGGTCGGAAAAGCTGTGTAGGTTTTATGCTTACAAGTGTTAATTAAGTTATAACTTTTAGGCAACTGTCAATGGAACAGAGCAGACTGATATTAATGCAAAGTGAGTCTTCACATCCCTCTTTCCTCACGCTGTTACTGTAACCCCAAGCTGCCCTGAGCACAGTCTGAAATCAGCATCAGAGCAGCTGTGCAGTACAGCACGCTTATGCAACCACGCTGGCTGCTTTTGTATTTGTTAAAACAGATGTTTGGGGTTTTTTTTTTTTTTTAAAAAGATCCCATTAATTCTCACAGAAATAAAACAGATTTTCAGATGGATGAAATGCTGAATAAATCGGTATTTAATAAACAAATGGCTTTACCAGTAATAGTGTGCGCTTGTACTTTCAAATCCAAAGGATCAGTGAAAGTTCACCTGATCCAGAAAGCACTGCTTTTCCCTGCTGAACGCCCAGACTTGCTGCCAACACCTTCCGTGCGGTGCAGCGGTGCCTGGGAGTCTGGGGAACAGCGCAAGCATCCTCATCGTCACTGCCCGGCTCACGCCGGAGCACCTGTGCACCTCAGCGCTTCGCTCGGGCATCGTACGAGCCCAGCACAAGCGGGACAGGAAAATGCAGAGGAAGATCTCAGCCGCAGGGCGAGGGAGGCCGGGCGGAGCGGTGGCGGCCGGCAGGTGGGAGCGGGCTGCGGCCGCAGCCGAGACCTGGGGAGAAGTTTCTGCGGGGCGGGGGTGCTGCAGCAGCTCTGCCCGCAGAAGCGGCGGGGCCGGAGCCGCCCCCGGCGGCCGCAGCAAGGCACGGAGGGGGATGTAGTCCGCGGGGCTGCCTACACTTCCCAAGGTGCCGCCGTGCCGAGCCGTGCCGTGCCGTGCCGAGCCGAGCCGCGGCGGGACTGCGGGTGCCGGCACCTGGCGGCGGGGGCGGAGCGGCGCGGCCCCGCTGCGCGGCGGGCGGGTCGGAGCCGCCCGCGGAGCGGGGACGGGCGGCGGCAGCGGCGGCAGCGCCTCCTGCGCGCCATGAGCACCGGCACAGGTAGGCGGGCGCGGGGGACGGCCGGGACCCCCCGTGTTTCGGGGCATCTCTGCTGCTGCCCAGCTCGGGTCCGTCTCGTTGCAGCGCGGGGTGCGGGCAGCGGCAGCCGGATGAAAATTGCTCGCCTAAAAGCACCCGAAAATACGAGAATCTGTGTGTGCGGCGGTGGCGGGGGGAGCTGCCGCAGCCGCGGGCGCTGCCGGGCGGGAGGGGCTGCGGATCCGCCGCGGTGCGGGCGGCGGGACCCTGCGCGGGGCTCCGCGGAGCCGCCCCCGCCCCGGGCGGCCCCGCACCCCCGGCCGGAGCCCGCAGAACGGGCTGGACCGGACCGGGGCTGCCCTTGTCCATCCCCCGCCGGTACCCAGCGGCTCGGGCGTCTCGCCGCGGCCCCGCAGCCGCGGTGAGGTGAGGGCGGCATCAGCCGGTGCCCCGGCCCGCCCGGCATCGCGGGTGGAAGCACACAGCTTTTCAGATGGGCATATTTGGGTTAAAAGCCGGCCTTTTCTGCCGGCCGAGATATTGTGGTGATAGAGAAGGTAGATGGATATTAGGGATGTGCCACGGAGCCCAAGCTAGGAATCGTGCCCGGAGGAATCCACTTGCCCAGGGCAATACAAAAGTAATTTATCCCGTGATACGTGCAGGATTTGAGAACTGACTTGGAACTGTATTTTTTAGCGATTCGACATTCGTCTGCGTTGTGTGTCGGCGGAGGGTGGTTACTTCAGAGCACAGCTGATTGCAAAATATTACAGTCCTTAAGGCAAATGCAGGGTTGTGCACAGAGGAGGGGGGGACTGTGGGAGGTGGTTGTGTATTTCGTTTGTGAGGGTAACTGTAGTGCCAAATATACGCTCTGCCACAACAACAGGGAGAGGCTGAATAGCTACAATTATGTGGTGACTCTGTATGTCAACATGCTTAATCATACCACATCCTCGCACCGAGCCAAACGGGAACCTGCTGCAAAGAGAGGAGAGCGAGCCCCGGCTGAGGACAGTGCTGACCTGGGGTCAGGCACCTGCTGCAGATGTCAGCTGAAAGCCTGGTCTGGCATTTCCTCGTGTTTGTTAATGGTGTAAGTGCTTTCATGTGTGCTGATTGTCCACGTTCCCACACGGTCTGTGGGTGGAACACTGCCAGCACGCCAGTCCTCTCTGTGGAAGTGCCCAGGCCAAGGCGGGTGTGCAGGTGAGAGCAAGGCGTGTGTTACAGGGCGTTTGAGCTACGATAGAAATCCCAAGTCTGTTTCCTGTCTTTAAAGAGCATCGAGATGGTTAACAGGGATGGTAAATTTCCTTTGGCACTGGTGAAATGCGGGTACGGAATCCTTTCCTTGGTCGCCTGGCTGTAATTTTGAACTGAAGAACATGAAATACTGAGAAATGGTCAAATTCTATTGTGGTAGAACTGAGCCTGGTAGAGGAAATATTAGAGTCCAAATTTTTCTCTCTATTATATTTTATATGTCAATTAAGTGGATTCTGAAGTTATAAACCCAGTAGAAAAGTTAGTGCAGGGGAGACTTGACACAATTCTATCTCAGTAATTGCTCCATACACGGTGTAAATTAAATAGAAAAAAGAACAGTGCCAAGATAAAAATAACGTCCTGGGAAAAAAGAGACTGGAAAAAAACCCTGAGAGTTCTTAGCTCTCATTTCAAAGAATAACTGGCAGTTTTAGGAATTTTGGGTTTAAGTATAAGGTTAGCTTTGATCTTTCCGGATTTTGATTTTGTGTGTCTGTGTGGGCTATGTAAACAACCTGCAATCAATTCTCATGATAAATTAAATGTGAGGAGCCCATATATACTCAGTGAAATCAATGGAAATTTTCCACTAACATTGATGAGTCAACTCTTGTACAACAAATTCAGTGCCACAGTTTGTTTAAAATTGCTGTTCCCAAAAGATTTCTACCAAAATTACTATGGAAAGGCTTTAATTCAAAGTTTGCTGTTTATTCTAACAGAAATATATTTCTGGTTCTGCAAAGAAAACAAGGGTGCAGAAGTGTGTTAAAATCAGCCCCACACAAGATCCAATGGTTTGATAGTTTAGGAGAAATCCCCAAGATTTATTTTACTCTTGAGATGGAGCATACCATTTTGGATCTGCATTTGCTCAGTCTGTGTCCTCTCTTGCACCAAGGCAGCACATCATTCACTGGCTGAGTCAAGGGGGTTTTAGGCAGTGCTGTGACACTGCTTTGCCACTTTAACCATAACATTTGGCATTGGGTATAGAAATGCTTATATTTGGTAAATGTGATGTAGTTTTTAATGTATTGATATAGGTAATACAATTAAAATGGTTCAATAGTACATGCATTGAGCCATTGTCCTGATGAATGGACTTGAGACTCAGGCTATAATTTTAAGTCTAGAAAGCATATGATCATCTGGTATAGTAAGACACAGTTCAGATGCATTAATTCATATGTTGTAATTAGATTTTTTCACACATGATTTTCCTCAGCTGCCTTCTATATACTTACCATTGGTCTTGGCTGAAGCTATTTCTAAGAAAGAGCCTATTCACTGTTTTTTATACCTGGGTGATTTGCATGAAATTGTTGTATTTTTAGGATACTAAAAGTACTTTAGAGTTTATAATATGATTTTCAGTCTAATAATTAAGTTCTTTGCCATCTTGAAATCATAGCAAGAAGAACAGAATATGTTAAATATTTGAGATTGTGAAAATGAGGTTCTCAATTCCCCGAAATTAGGGTAACATGATGTCTATTACTTAAGTGCAAAAAGCGAATCACAGAGCTAATTACATACTAGTTGAGTTAGATTAGATTAAATTAAATGTCATGACACAAATTCACCCAGCTATTTAGTCTTTAAACTATTATATTAAAGGGGCAATTTGATTGCATGGATCAGAGGACAGCTAATGGAGTGTCACAGCCCAAATGGAGCAGGAATGTAGTGGCTCTGGTTACAAAAGAGGTTACTCAGGTTGGTCACACAGGGTCCAGCTCAGCTTGGAGATGATTAATTCCTTTTCAAAGTTCACATGCAACTATGCTGATAAGAATCCTCCCTAGAGACAAAAGTTATGATGGTTTCAGACTATGCTATATTTTGTACTTAGATACAGCATTTTTCTTTCAGCCCTTCATTCTGTGCCCTGGTAAAAGAGCATTGAATTACTAGACAGGAGCACCAGGAGGTCAGCTTGCTTTGGAGTTTGCCTGCTAATGAATGTGTTCACCTTATAAGATGCAATCCTACGTGTTCATAATAAAACAAAAGCAGAACTATTTCATTTCATTGCCATTTTAGCCAAGTTTCCCTGAAAAAAAAAAGCCCCCACAACCTATATTTCCTGATGATATATTCTTCCTCTGAGGCTGAATTGCAAAGATGCTGTTTGATCTCACTGACTGTAAAAAACAGGAAGCTGTATCTTGGGATTTGCTAAGGTTTTGGGGGATTCTGTACAGCTCTTAAGAAAATGGTTTCAGCTCAGTGCATGTATCTTTTAAATGGCAGCATGTTCTTGGATGGTGGAAACACACAGCACAGTTAGGAGAGGGTGAAGTGGGTCAGAAGAGATTCTCAGGTGATGTCACATCAGATGGTAACTCCTGACTGCAGGACATCCTTGTCTCCTGGTGGCCTTCACATGCTGCAGCCCAACTCTGGACAGGTGGCTAGTTCTGCTTAACAAAATCCAGATACTTGGCTTTCTGAGCGAGGTCTTCTTGCTCACTTGCCTGTTTTCAGTGCAGCACCTGTCCAACCCTTCTGGGCTGGTAGGGGCTGGTATGTGTTCACATCTGACTGCCCCTGCAGTACAATGTACAAGTAGTATGCTTTCAGTTTTGTTCCTCAGGACATTATTGCTTATGTACTTAATCAGCCAAGAATATCTTTGACATAAAAACATAGAGGTCTAAGAAATGTAGAGAAAATTGAGAAATACAAGCATGTCTACTTTTATATCTCTTCTGTGCAATGAGATGGCCAATGTTCAAAGAGAAGTGAAGAAATCCTGATTTCAGTTTTGCTCAATTTGACAAACAATTCCCCTCTACACTACACAAATTAAGGCTTTAGCAGTGGAAAATCCTCTATCCCGATTGCTGTTAATTGGAAGCTCACTGCTGCATTTTCCAGTCCTGTGGGGGTTTGCTGGTACCATTAACTCACCTTTGGACCTTGGGTTCTCCAACCAAGCACCCAGCACTCTCAATAATGGATACATTAATAAATTTGTGTTAAAAGGGCTTGTGCTGCATGGGGCTGTTAGAAACAGAGCTCTGTAAGTGCCAGGATGAAAGGGGGCCCAGGCAGCAGAGCTGAGTCTCTGCACAAGCCCAGCATCAGATGGAGGGCAGTGCATGGGCCTTGGAGATTATTGGACAATTAGCTGGCTTGCTCTCTGCATCCTTAAATATAACCTTAAGACAAACATTTCTGAATTTGTATTGTTCCCTGTGTCAAGATCCATTAGCAGCGTGTCAAGGTCCATAACTGTTGCCGTCTGAAACATTGGAGTGTTTTTTTCCACAGCTTATTAGTTGTTCGTGCTCTGAAATCTAGATGGAGTATTGTTTTGCATGAAGCGTGGTTACTTATTTTTCCATTTCAGATAAGAAATGTGAGATGAATAAAAACTTCTTTTAGTGACTATTTCGGTAGCTTTAGGAGCCATTTTTTTCCCCTTCTCTTTAAAATCAAATCCTTCTAATGGCATTAGTCAAATTGATCATTAATTATATTTTGAAGAATCTCCTGATCTTATAGGACAAGTTTCTTGATCTGTAGATGAAAGAAAACAAAGTCTAAATGCAGTTGGCCATGAAAAATACACATTCCTGAATTGCAGGAGATCACTAGTGATATTTTGAAAATACTTCAGTGTTCTTAACTGCAGGTTGGTTTTTTCCTACTTAGAAACTGTTATTTTTAGGTTTAAGTAATGCTGTCATTGTAAAACAGTAACAGACTGCAGTTTCTCCTGATGGTGGATATGAAGAACA